TTCCCCTTTCACTTTAAAAGATCGGAAGCTGAATGTCCTTGACTGCTGACATGTTCCCCCACTGGGAGGGAACAATCCTGTCTGGCGATTGTTGTGCAGTGTCCATTCATCTGCTGCCGTAGTGTCTTCATGGTCAAGGACATTCAGTCTCCGATCATTCAGTGTCCTCCAAGGTAGCCTTCGAGATACACAACAATGCAGAGTCGCCGTGCAGAGACTGATAGCCAAGTTCCTTACTCATGTAGATGGCCTCAAACATGATCTTGTGTTCATGTCACGCTACATGTAACCCCACCACACTCTTCTGTATCTGTAATATCTTCCTTACTGTCCTGTTTTAACACCATCACCTCGATAACTTGTTATGATCTCTCTACCTTAATTAGTTTGTACAGTTTGGGATTACGTGTTACTTTGGTTAGACCCTCGGCATGCGACTCTTATACCTATCATGTTATTCCAGCTATTTGGTTTGTCACCAGCACTACCTGATTTTTAATTTTTTGTAATTATCTCTCTGCCTCAATTAATTAGATTATAGGTCATCCCCTTCACTTACTATTCAGCTGTTGAGACTTTATGCACACCGTCTGACACTTTTGATCTCTTTGCCTATAAGATTTGTTTGAGCTTTTGATCTCTTTGCCTATAAATTCTGTGCCTGTGTGCTTCTCTTCACTTCTCCAGATAAAGGGGAAGCACTTCGAAAGCTTGTGATTTCAAATAAACTTGTTGGACGACAACCCGGTGTCTTGTGATGTCAGAAGTTTCGCAACATCCTACCTATAGCAGGGAGACCAGAATTGCATGCAGTATTCCAAAAGTGACCTAACCAATGTCCTGTACAGCTACAACTTGACATCCCAACTCCTATACTCAATGGAATGACCAATAAAGGCAAGTCGGTGAGAAGAAATTCCAGAAGCACAAGGCTGTAGAAATATCAAGGAGGAGAATTTCTCAAAAGGCTATTAAAGACATGAACCCAGGGAGCCCATGTTATGTAATAAGTGAGCTGAGTTCGTAGTTTGTATGAAGGGTCTTGGGAAATGACATTAATTGAAAAAAAATAGTATTGGGTGAATGCACAGAAATTTTCCAAAAGGAAATCAATTGCCAGTTCAGCAAAACATTTCAGCATGGAGATAGGGGTGACCCTTCACTGAGGTTTGGGTATCTGTAAGTGCATTGGTGGAATAAAAGGGATGAAGCTTTCTTACAGGCATTTGTAATGAGGTTGCTCCAATAGTCTCGTATACTGTAATGTACGTTTGTTTCTAATGTGTGCAATAAACTTTTACATTCTTTTGTTAAAAGTACATTTACAGCCTTTTATGAACATGCTCAGTGACTGACCTCTACTGTAAACAAAAAGAAAAATGAAATATCTGATCTATCACGGTAGATTTCACTCAGGAATTTGATACATCCACTACTGCCTTCAGCTGGGATTCGAACAATACACATTGATTTTAAGAATTTTGAAACTCTTTTCCCATCTGCACCAAATTTCCACTCTCATCAAATTCCTGCAATTTACTCGATTCGTTAGATACACCTAGCACTTTTCACACAGCTGATCTTTAAGCAAACCCAGCCCAGCTCACAGTGTGTCAGAGGGCCAAGAAGTGAAAAAGGAAAATGCTAAACAGAATGATTCAACATGCAGTCTGTGAAAGAGAGGGACAAAGGTCTCAGAATAGGTTGTCACCCCAAACCTAAGAGGAAACAAATAGCAACAATTGAAAATTCTGCAGAAAAATGAATTCCATTACAGTGTCAAGCCGGGAAAGAAGGATATACACAAGAGATGGCTGCAAGGAGACAAGGAATTAACTTCCTCGGTTGTTTTCCATACATTCTAAATAAAGCGACACATTCACAGCACAAATCGTTGTACATGTCTCTGATTTCTGAATATAGGAACAAGTAACACACAGACTTGTCATTCCATAAATACTTCAGGACACCGTCTACCTAAGCACCATCCTAATTAATGATGTTGAATGAAAAGGAAGATTAAAACTTCAATGCTGAGTGTAAGGCCCGGAATATGGTTCATATGGTTGAGTATATACATTTATTAAGAAAAATACTTTGAATCCAGAGCGGGAAATGACATATTTTCTTCCCTCTCCTAGGGGAATATCCGGATAATAGAGTCTTTCAACACAGCATGTGAAGGGCTGACTGTACAACTGATGGAACACAGTGGCTAGCTCACAATTCACAATTAACATTGACATCACGTTTCAGCCTCTGATACTGTAATAATAAAGCACACTCCACAGCTGGGAGGTTAAACATACAATGGTTATTCACCTTGACAGCAAACTCCTGCTCAAGGCTGTCCCTGTGTTTCTGTCTCCATAGTGGATTGCGATGGGATCTGAAAGCCATTTTGCCTCATAAGCAGCTAGACTGAGCTGTTACATTACTGCGGTGTAAGGCAGCATGGTTTTGGGGTGGGAGATTGGCCCCTGTGTGTTTGCATGTCTGTCATCTCAAAGGAATTTCGGCAGACCGATATGGTTGGCATGGTGGCTCAGTGGTTAGCATTGCTGCCTCACAGAGCCAGGGACCTGTGTTTGATTCTACCCTCGGGCGACTGTCTGTTTGCACATTCTTCCCGCATCTGTGTGGGTTTCATCTGGGTGCTCCGATTTCCTCCCACAGTTCAAAGTTTTGGAAGCTAGTGAATTAGCCATGCGAAATGCAAGGTTACAGGGTCAGGGTAGGGGGGATGAGTCTGGGTGGGATGCTTTTTGGAGGGACAGTATGGACTCAATGGACTGAATGGCCTGTTTCCAGGCTGTAGGCATTCTAGGATTCTTTGATAAGCCACAAGCAGATGATGGGAATCTCATCAATCTTATAAATGTGCAATTTTCATTTCCCTAAGAATTTATCCAGATCCCACTGTGGGATTTGAACTGCTGAAGCTACCACTGAAATCTCAAGATGCTGGGATACCAATCAGAAGAGGCGCAAAATACTGAGTGCTGCTGGGTGTGACGGAGGGTGAATTTGCCACTAAAAGTCCACACAGTACTGGGATGGCTCAACCATACAAGTGACCCACAAAGAAAGGTCATTCTCTTCGGCAGAATGGACGGAATTGGGTGAGGAACTGTTCCTCCAATCACAGATCTGGTCTCTCTCTTTCTCTCTCTCTCACTCACTCTCACTGGTGAGCTATCAGCAGTAAATGAGGAAAGAATCAACCTGTGATTGGAACAGCAGCGAGAAAGTGAGTCATAGCAATGAGCGAGGACGTCAGCCTATTCTCCAGCATAAATCTCTTCCACTTAGCAAAGTAAAGGAATGCTGATTTAAACATTTTGCCTCCTAACAACACTCTCAGTTGGACTGTCAACAGCCATGTAGCACCAAGCATTGATGCTGAGAACTGGAATTTCCAATTTGCAATTCTCTCACCTCTACAGTTTTCACCCAATGCTCAATCATCAGTGTGAACAGGCACCAAGCTTTTTCACACAGAAATGATAGATCAGGCAGAGTCAGAGGCTAGGAAACCTACTGGCTCTGGAAACAAACTCTCTTTGCTCAATAGCAATCACATTGGCAAAAAATGACACAATAGCATCTCTTGCCACACACCTCCACACATTCATTAAACTCTTTGTTTAGTTCAGTGTTACACTCAATTGGCTTCAGGGCAGATTGAGATTTATTAAGGATGTGGGATGTGTAGTAATTCACACCTATCATCTAGCCTGACAGTATATCATTTAAAATAAATAGACTTTTCATAAAATAAACACAAGAACGAGAAAGAATACTAAATAAAATGGGGCTCTTTCTTCCATGTTAAAGCGCTCAGATGCATTGAGACCTCTTCAGGCATCCTAAAGAATATGGTAATTTGAGCAGTGAATGCCTTTCCTTACGTTATTTTGTTACCTTCCAAATCCACCACACTCTATTTGGTCTTATGTAACACTTTGCATTTATATAACACCTTTAACACTGTAAAACATTCCACGGTGCATCACAAGAGCATTTTGAAACAGCATTAAATACCAAGCCATGCAGAAAGATGTTAGGATAGGGGGCTAAAATTTTGTCAAAGAACTTGGGTCAGGAGGAGCGACTTAAAGGTGCATAGAGAGAAAAGAGAGAGAGAGATGGAGAGAGAGAGATGGTGGTCAGGAGTTCTAAAATTTAGCAAGAGAATTCCAGAGTTTAGAACTCAAGTAGCTGAGGACACAGCCACTGATGGTGGATACAGGTAAATAAGCAATGGTCAGAATTAGAGGAGCACTAACCTCCCTGGAGGTTGGGGACTGGAGCAGGTTGCAGAGATTCAGTGAAGGGTGGTGGTCTGGTCAGGATTGTGAGTCATGGAGGGATTTGAAAAGAAGGGTGAGAATATTGAAATTAAGGGATTGCCAAATCCAGAGGGAATTTAGCTGAACAAGCAAAGGTATGGTGAATGGGACTTGGTGTGAGTTATAATGGAGTTCCAGCTTTGTATTGAATGGTTGGAGGGCAGAGAGTAAATGAGAAGAAATGTAAAGGGAATACACTCCAGTCTGATTCATGTTGTAGTGATTAAGGTCTTGGCCTAGAATGAAAGCTGGGCTCACTTGGCTAGACACCATTGAAGATCAAACTGGAGTCAATAGTAAGAAGTTTCATCCCTGTTCTGGCTGGGCTGCATTTAGGATCTGCCTCCTTACACTGTATGGAGTGGAGCTCATACTAATGTGGGCCAGACTTATATTTGGACAGGGAAATGAAGGAAGGAAGGAGTTATTCTCCATCCATTCTTACACAGAAAAGACAAGGTGACATGACTCACAGGCTGGTGGGGTGGATTCAGTTGGCCAATTTGTGGTGTCAAGTAGCATGTTGGGGTGGGACACTTCGCTGGGGAAAGCAGAAGTGACAGAAAGCCAGGGACAATGAAGTGGAACCAGCAAGAATGGCAGTGGGAGGCACACCAAGTGAAGCAGACAGGTCCCAGAGTTACTTACCGGCCTGGTTGGTGGTCACGTTGACAGACACGTGCTGCGGGGGGAATCTCGTCTTGCCAGAGACTCCGTTGACAGCCTGAATCTCAAACGTGTAGGGAGTATGCGCCCAAAGGCTGCTGATAAACACTCGGGTTTCTGTCAGGCCGAACTGCCTTGGCACAAACTCCACGTTCTCATCACATCGGGTGCACAACCGCCGGTTGCTATGGCACTTCTTACAGACAATGTTGTACATGACATCGTCGCGGCCCCCAACGTCCCTTGGCGGATTCCACTCCAGAATGATGGAGGTCTCATTCACACTGGATATCACGTTGCGTGGGCCTGATGGAACACCTACAAACGCAAATAAAAATGTTACGCATTTCTGTATCAGCCTTTCTACCAATGCACCAGCTATTTGCTTACTGATTTTGCACCAATTGTTTAATGAGGAGGTACATGGATCCTTGTTCAATTGGGGCATCAAAGTTTACTGGGCATAGATGGGGAAGGTGGGATTTGGAAAACAAATAGATCAGCCATGATCTTATTGAATGGTGGAGCATACTTGAAGCGTTAAATTGCCTCTTTCTGCTCCTAAGTCCTACGTTCATATGTAGGGTGTAACCTCACACTACAATGTTTACCTTAAGCTCCCACTGATCAGCATTCATTAATCTCAAAGTTCATACACAATCGAATGATTTTTTTTAGCAAAACGTTGATCAGGCCCAGGTTTATGAAGAGTTGGCCAGATTTGGGAAGCGTTAAAAAGGGACCAAATCCGGGATCTCGGCCTGTGTTCAGCAATCTTTGCCAGTGTTGGTTAATGTTGTGGATAGCCTGGATGTAGAAGTGGGCATTTCAGACTACATCCCCACCACACCTGTCGTACCCTTACCATTTTGATGGAGCGGGCTTGTTAGTAGATTTAGCTCACAACACCTTGAAAGAGCCATAAACCATAGGGGAGCCCTATTGCCGAATGGGAACCCAAAAGATAAAGCAATTCAAACTGAACTCAGCCCTGGGGGAAATGTTGACATTGCTCACAGGGGAGCATGAGCTTTGTTTAAATGACATCTTTATTACCCTGTAAAAACCGGATCTTTCTTTGAACAGTTGCTTTATTTTGATGCCTGTATGTTTATTTAAAGAAGATTAAGAGACACAGAGTGAATGATAGCTTTTGCCATTGATAGAAATGGCAGTGTGTGAATGATACTTTGAAGAGGTTGTAAGATGAATAATTTTTTTTCAGATAAGATTTTCAAAGCCTTGACACGTTTTGTATGAGTTTCAGCGCATTTCAAATACTTAGTGGACACTGAAAACATGACAATAATGGATATGTGAGGGTGTGCATTGAAGGGGCATGAGGGATACAATGGTGTAATGGAGGATTCTGAAGGGAAATAGGGGATTGGCCATGGAGGAGTGAGGGGGATAGGGTCTGACAGTCAAGATTACAATTGATGTCCCAAAAGCCATTGGGGCATGGAGTGTATTCTATCCTGCCAGCCTCACAATCCCAAATCTGTTTGTTCTAAAATAGGTAGGTCCATCTCCATCTCATGATAACAAGGCAAACAAACTGTTCTAGGACAGAGAAAGGATTGTAGGTTTGGGACATTTCCAGCTTGAGATATCTGTTTCCATAGAATTTTAGTCCTCTATGAGATAGAATCCCTACAATGTAGAAAGAGGCCATTCACTCATCACTTTGCACTGACAAGTCAAAGAGCATCCCCCCTCACCCAGTTTATCCCCGTAATCCTGCATTTGCCATGGCTAATCCACCTAGCCTACACACCCCTGGATATTATGGGCAATTTAGCATGGCAAATCCACCTAACCTGCACATCTTTGGACTCTGGGAGGAAACCAGAGCACCCGGAGGAAACCCACACAGACACGGGGAGAACATGCAAACCACACACACACAGTCCCCAAGAGTGGGATCGAACCCAGGTCCCTGGAGCTGTGAGGCAGCAGTGCTAATCGCTGAGATACCGTGCCACCCATCTCTTTGCTGACGATTAAAATAGAAGCTAATAAGATGGTAACTGGCTGACATGGAGTTGACCTTCTTTATTGTGGACAGATACTACCTGTTCAACTTTGCACATGATCTTCAGTGATGCAACCAGGACACTGGCTAGCTCTGTAGACAGACAGAGATTGAAAGTAACAGGGAAATGCAAAGTCAATCAGAATTGTAAATGGATAAACAGAGAGCGAGAAAAACAAATAGTCAAGGAGAAGACACAGGAAAACAGAGCCAGATAAGAGAGATGGAGAGATTGTTAAATAGATTGGCGGATTAACAGATCTAAAGATAGTAAAGACAATTCCTCCATCAGTCAGGTACATCAATAGATAGAGAAATGGACAAATCGATCAAAGGCTAAACAGAGATGGACAGATATATTGATTAATAGACAGATCAATAACTCAATATGCAGACAAATAGTGGATACATCTGATTGAAAAACAGCCAGCTGGAAAGAAAACAGAAGTAGACAGGAAAAGAAACAGCGAGGGAATAAGTTGAAGAAACAGATAGATAAAAAGTGAAACAAATTGAAAGACAGAAGGACAGACTGACTGACAGAAGAACAGTGAGTTAGAGAGATAAATGCCATCGGTAAGAGCACATAAGTCTTTGAAGTCTCCAAAAATAGTGGTTGGCTTACACACCAAGAATAACATGTAAAATGCTGGTGTGGGTGGTCATCATGTCAAAATGTGAAAACAAAACGTACCAGCAATTCACATTAAATTAAGATGGCAGTTTTATTGAATTAATTAATTTTACAAAAATAGCAATAAACACAGTCAAAGCATTTTAAAACTCGTCAAATTCAATACCTTTGGCATCTCATTAATTCATCAAATTTGTTCTGAGTTATTTTGTCTATTGCACTGTCATAGTGATCCCATTCTGGTTCAGATGTGACACGTTCAACTTCATAATCATCCTCCACAAAATATTATCTTCATCTTCACCTAATGGCATCAGATGTTTTGCTTTTTTTGAATGACCTGTTGCCACTTTGTAGACGTGATTGATGACAAAACCTCATTAAATATCCACCTATTCCAATCAGTGCAAACATGACCCTCAAGTTGTTTGTTGAGCCTTGCCTCCAAAGGTTGAACAACAGATCTTTGCAGGCTTATCAGCTACCAGAGCCATCAAATCTGAACGTAGAATCATACAGAACAGAACAGGCCCTTTGGCCCATCAAGTCTGTACTGCCAAGAAATATCCCACATTAAAAAAATCTGCTTTCTTAATATAGGCCCCCAGGATGTCCATGCCAGATATAACATCACTTTATCCTCATCCATCCAACTCTTGTTGTGCACATGCATCCAAGAACTCCTGCAAAGAACATGATTTTGAGCATGGCTTTAAGTTTGAAAATTGTCGTGGGCTTTAATCTCTTTCTGGTGCCCATGCAGACTGATACCACTGTAAATCTTGTCTTCTCACTCACAATGGTGTCAGACTGTTTCCACAGTGTGGCTACCAAGAACATGAAAGTTCATGCGTGTTTAATCCCTTACTAGAAACTGATCGAGTAATTACAACATCCTTTTCAATCTAGAGTATATCCAAATGGTTTAAATTCTTCGCAGATTTCCAGGTGGTCCTTAAATATATATATAAATATTTCCAACAATTCAGCTTCATTGACAGAAAATCCAGTGGACATGAGAAGTCATCACATTATTCTTTGTTTCCATACTCTTGGTCCACAGGGGTATTATTTTTCATTTGTTTGCCCCAGTGAAAAAAAACATACCAACTCTGCACAGTCGTGTCTTTTTTTTGCATTGTGTGTATGTGTGTGAGGGATTAAGGGGGATATATTTTTAAACTTGCTCTGTAGTTTGTGTGTTAACCAGTATTTGTAACTTGCCTTAACAACAAGTTTGTTCATAATCCGTGCATTATTTTGAGTTAATTAAAGAAGGCTGGTGGATGTTTATTTTACTCTGAAAAGTAGTATGAAATAAGCGATTGGCCAGTTTGGTCATTGAATCATTCTCCTGCTATCATCACAGTTATAGCAGTTCATACACATTACATCTCTGGTGACAATGTACCCATTCTGACAGTTCTCGATGACCCATTCTGACAAATGCTTCTCAAAATCAGGCCAGTGGCTGGTCCCAGTTCTGATGGCAAATTTGTCTTAGGCATCTCATTAGGGTGGGCTCCTCCTTCTTCACACCAGTATTTCACTAACACCGAACAATCTTGCCACAGTGAAAATATTTGATGAGTTAACAAAAGTTCTGACTTCAAGGTTGGAACTAGCTTCACACTTCATTTGTTTTGAAGACTGAAGAAGTTGGGACCGTTCTCCCTGGAGAGAAGAAGTCTAAGAGGAGACCTGATCACGGTTCAAAATCATGGCTGGACTGGACAGAATAGATGGGGAGAATTTGTTCCCATTTGTAAAAGGAACAAAAACGAGAAGGGGGTAACAAGGTGCAGAGCTGGATGAACACAGCAGACCAAGCAGCATCAGAGGAGCAGGAAGTCTGACGTTTCAGGCCTAGACCCTTCTTCAGAAATGGGGAAGGGGAAGGGGGTTCTGAAATAAATAGGGAGAGAGGGGGAGGCGGATAGAAGATGGGTAGAGAAGATAGGTGGAGAGGAGACAGACCGGTCAAAGAGGAGGGGATGGAGCCAGTAAAGGTGAATGTAGATGGGGAGGTAGGGAGGAGACAGGTCAGTCCAGGGGGGACGGACAGGTCAAGGGGGCGGGATGAGGTTAGTAGGTAGGAGATGGGGGTGGGGCTTGAGGTGGGAGGAGGGGATAGGTGGGAGGAAGGACAGTTTAGGGAGGCGGGGACGAGCTGGGCTGGTTTTGGGATGCCGTAGGGGGAGGGGAGATTTTGAAGCTTGTGAAGTCCACGTTGATACCATTGGGCTGCAGGGTTCTCAAGCGGAATATGAGTTGCTGTTCCTGCAACCTTCAGGTAGCATCGTTGTGGCACTGCAGGAGGCCCAGGATGGACATGTCATCTGAGGAATGGCAGGGGGAGTTGAAATGGTTCGCGACTGGGAGGTGCAGTTGTTTAGTGCGAGCCGAGCGTAGGTGTTCTGCAAAGCGGTCCCCAAGCCTCCGCGTGGTTTCCCGTATGTAGAGGAGGCCACAACGGGAACAGCGGATGCAGTATATCACATTAGCAGATGTGCAGGTGAACATCTGCTTGATGTGGAAAGTCTTCTTGGGGCCTGGGATGGGGTTGAGGAGGGAGGTGTAGTGGCAGGTGTAGCACTTCCTGCGGTTGCAGGGAAAAGTGCTGGGTGTGGTGGGGCTGGAGGGGAGTGT